GGGAAGATCCACAACTGACCGTGAAAATTGTAGCCGATCGGGGAACGCCGGCTAGATCATGACGGGGTGGGTGTGGCGAACGAGATGCAGCCGCCTGAGGCACGAGGAGGGGGCCCCGAGCCAGCCGCAAGGCACGACCAAGGCACCCACAAATCCCACTGGACTAGGAGGGCATTGGCCACGGGGGAGGTGTGGTGCTCGCGCCAGGTCGAGCTCGGTGTGGGGGAGGAGGGGGAGCACGCAAACACGTTAGATCCGCCACGCTGCCACCATCCTGGGTCCGGCACGACTTCGTCGGCCGACCCTCTGGTGGCGGCGATGCAGGGAAGGGCGACGGGGGATGGCTTTGGGCGGCGGACAGGGTTCCACGCGACACGTGCACCACTCTTGTTTGAAAGGACAAAATTATTGTACTGGTGTCAAGAGATGGTTGATGCGAACATGGTCGTTGGTGTAGTTTGCTGATCGTTTTTTTTCTTGCTTAGCCATAGCTTTGGTATTGTGTGACTTTGCTCTTTTCGGCGTGTTTATTTATGTGTGCAAATTAACATTGATTGTGTGCATTCAAAATATGCAGAAACTGGTGTGCTCACCCATGCTTGTATATGCTTCAAATATGCATCTTTTGTCCGAAAAAGGAACACAACCTACAAAGCGACTGTCATACCTGGAGTGGTAATTTCTTTTTTGTTTTGGAAATGGCATATTTGGAGTGGTAAAATGACATTGTGGCTGGGAGCCTATGTTGTCTGCGAGAGGGATAATGACGAATATTCAAAAGCATGCAAAAAGTACAACTAATCATTTTTTATTAATCAATCAATTTAGTCTTCTACAGTACGTCCGTGACCGTTGACGGCGACTTCACTCGTGTGGGTCTCCTTGTGAACTTGCCTTTCACTTTCCCCTCAGCTTCCTCCTCCATTCCTCTTTGCTGTGCCGGTGCGACGGCGATCGAAGTAGCCGACACGCGGCGCGCGGCGGCGGCGGTTTTCCTGACCGTCTTCGGACTACCGGAAGCAGCACCACCGCGTTTGGCTTGCGTCGATCTAGCCACACCCGGTAAGCGCCACCTGAGCTCAGCTGCATTCTTTATTTCGGTTTCCTTTTTTAATGGATCGTTGTAAAGAGGGCATTGCGACTTTGCGAGGCTCTCTACTTCGTTTGAGAGTCAGATCGGTTTACCACTTTACCCCGCCTGCCCTCTCCTCCTCCGGCGGCGCCGCCGCCTGGAGTGGGAATGGGAGGGGAGCTCGGGCCGATCTTGTATATCGGTTTAAGTTTGTACTTGCGTTAGTGGCGCATGGCCTCGTGCCGTTAGAGGGAGCTTCTCACCGGAGCAGGCGAGCTGCGTCCAGTGGCCGGCCTTCTCCTCCTCATACTGCCTCGTCGATAAGCTTGGTGGGTTAGGGTTTCTGTATATTATTTTAAGCACAGTTGACTCAGTCAACTCGACCGGTACCATGGTCATGCCGAGCAAAAAGTTTGATTTATTCACAAGAATACGCTGAAATTTTTCTTCACAATGGTTTAGCAGGAACCCAAAGGTGTCTACATCATCCAGTCAAATCCAGTCGATCGCAACCGCAGTTCCCTCTTTCCCTTCCATCCATCTCGAGTCGCCAATCAGTTGCCTGGTACTGAAATACGGATTTTGAAGAATTTGGCTTCACTTTCCTTCAAATTATCAGCGAGTAAATATCATTGACCTTTATTTTTCAGGATCTACTATCTACATACTGGTGACTGTGAGTAGATCCGGCTGTGCAAGCCAGTATCTTTCAGTCGATTGATCTGCAAATGATGTTGGCCGACAGCGGAAAGGGATAGCAGCGTGGCCTCACCGTTCACCGTACCTCGAGTTCTACCTCCACGTATGTCGGGTCTTCCCTCTTCTACTCTATTTATGCGCTTTTTATTTGCACATTCTTTTAAATCTGAGGCTGAACGCTGCCAAGCTTCATAAGGCAGGAGAACACACAAAGATTCAAACTGAATACATATGGAAATGATTAATACCGTACAAAGTTAAGAATTAGAGATGATGCACTTCTCTAAAAATACAACACATGTTTCAGTCTTATCTTTTTTTGTCAGGCTATATAGCATTAGGTAGCTGTAAGAAATAGTCACAATACTTGTTTTCACTATCTGCATATTATGTTGTGTTTTTCCTATGGTCACCTCTTTGTAGAAACAAAGTAAAAACTCTTATTTAATTAGTTGCAAGGATGCGCTTAAACTTCATTTCCATGTTTATGATTTATCCCTACTTGCTGATGAAACTATCCATGAAAACAACTCCAAGGGGAACTTCCTTCTGATGGAAACATATGTGGAGAAAATGATTACCACACCAGCTTGCTTGCGTATACCTGCTCTGTATTTTTAGTATTGCTCTGAACGAGTATGCTTCCAGAATGCTCAATGCGTATACCTTTTTTTGTCCACAGGACCAAAGAAATTGATATCCAGACTCCAATCTTTATGAGCATATCCCGGGCCATTGGGGTCATTAGTGGCCTCAATGAATGTGTCAATTTGTTTCAGTGGGCTGGATCTTCTATTTCGTATCTGCGCTCCCGGTGGTCTGCAACACAGGAGGAAAGTATTCATCATGAAGTATTGCACTTGCAGAGTGGCTTACAACGTCTTAGGGATACTCTTCCGGCAATGTACAGTCTTATTGACCAAGCAGAGTGGAGGATCCACGAAGGCCGTGTCGCGGAGCTCCTTCCCAACCTCAAAGATGCAGTGAATGATGCTGATGATCTTCTTGATGAGTTCAGATGGCATGAGCTAAAGATGGAGGTAGAGGGCAATGCAAGTCATTCTGCTTTTATTGACTTCTACAAGACTACCGTACAAGGCAGCTTCAACAAAGTGAATGATATCCAAGAGAGGTTGAATAGTATTTCTGGTCAGCTAGAGAAAATGGGGTTATATGGAGTGACACCAGGGTTCGACAAATCAGTTAGGCCAGACACTACTCCTTTCCCGAATGAAAAAAAAATTTGGTCGTGACAAGGAACTGGAGGAGGTGATGGGATTTCTCGGTGTACCTCAAAGTAAAGGAAGGGCCTGTTCAAAACGCAAGAGAGCAAGTAGCGCAGTCAATGCATCAACAAGCACATCAGCATCAAACCATGTTAGTAATGAATCAAGAACACCAGCTATTCCTGTTTTGCCAATAGTTGGAATGGGGGGCGTTGGAAAGACCACTCTGGCTCAACATATATGCAATAATCAACATGTGAAAGATTACTTTGAGTTAATAATCTGGATTTGTGCAGATGAATTTGATGTGAAGAGATTAATTAAAGATGCCATACAATCCGCTTCCGGAAAATGGACAATACATGCAGGACTGAATACATGATCATTTAGCTTCTCTTCAAGATGCTCTTTCTGACAGTGTGAGCAATAAAAGGTTCTTGATTGTTGTTGATGACGTGTGGGATGATGCCTTGCAGCGTTGGAAAGACTTCTATGATTCTTTAAAAAATGTGGTACAGGGAAGTATGATGTTGGTCACAACAAGATTTCCAGATGTTGCTGATAGAGTGCGCACAATGGAGCCCTTCCCATTAGATGGTTTGAATGAGGATGCATTTTGGGATTTCTTTAAACTTTGTGCGTTTGGGTCTGCGAGTTCTGAGAATGATCCTGAGTTAGAGAGGATTGGGAAAAGGATAGTTCCAAAGTTGAAGGGTTCTCCTTTGGCCGTCAAAACTCTTGAGCGTCTATTAGGAATGAACCTTCATACAACACATTGGAACAATATACTAGAGAGTGAACTCTGGAAGTTGAAACAAGAGAAAACTGATATTTTGCCAGCCCTTCGGTTGAGCTATATATATTTGCCATTCCACTTGAAGAGATGCTTCTCGTTCTGTGCTCTATACGCCAAAGATCACAAATTTGAAAAGGGCCGTTTAGCTGAAATTTGGGTAGCAGAAGGCTTTGTGGAGCCTCAAGGCGACATTCCACTTGAAGATATTGGCCATCAGTACTTTGAGGACCTTGTAAATAGGTCCTTCTTTCAAAATGTTAGCGGTACATACATAATCCATGACTTGCTGCATGACATGGCAAAGCTAGTGTCAGATCACGACTGCTTCACCATAAGAAATATGAGGGACTTCCAAATGGTTCCCCAGAATGTTCGTCATCTGTACATACTCCCAAGCAGAGACTTGAGCACTCCCAACTTGTTGAGCCTAAGCAAGCACACAAAGCTGCATACGCTAATTTGTGACATGTCTTTTGGGAATGAAGCTGCAGTTATAATGGACCGTTGGTGTAGTGAGCTTCAGCGTTTGCGTGTGCTTTTTTGGGCCTCTTCAAATGAGTTGCCAGACAGTATTGCCAACTTGAAGCATCTTCGGCATCTTGAAATCTCCAAGGCTTGTGCTTTCAAGAGCTTTTCTTCAGCATTTTGCTCCCTCTATAATCTGCAGAGATTATACGCGAAGGAGTGCAAGTTAGAAAGCTTGCCCTGTGACTTTAGTAAGTTGATAAGTTTACGGAGATTTAAATCACGAGGATTTGAATATTATGCAGGGCGCACTCTGAATATTGATGCAACCAATCGGTTCGAAATGAAGTTGATAAAGAATTTGAACCAATTTGATGGACATATGAACATATGCAATCTTGGTTCTGTGAGCAATTGTTATCCTACAGAATTTAAACTGAAGGATAAGAAGTATCTACGCAGACTGGAACTGACATGGTCTTTGGCGTCCTCTCCTGAGGACAAAGGAGTGCTTCAAGCCCTACAGTCTCCCACCTGTCTGGAATCTCTGTTCCTCAAAGGTTATCCAGATGTGTCTCTTCCAAATTGGTTTCAGCAGCATAGAAACCTAAGTGAGATGCCAGCTGTGCCAGTTGACAACAATAATGATGAGATTGGTACTTTGCCGTCCTTGGAAGAGCTAGCCATTCTTTACTGTCGAAATCTACGAAGCGTCGAACAACTTCTGTGTCCAGCTTATGTGCCTGCCATCAAGAGATTAAGGATTGCTGGTTGCCACCAGTTAAAATCATTACGAACTGTAACGTTAGGTGGTTTTCATTCCCTTGAAAGATTAGAAGTGTGTGGTTGTCCAAATATCCGCTCGAGAGGTTTGGTGGCGCACTCCCTCAAGACACTCAAACTGGAAAGTTCTGGGAATCTCACAAACAATATGCAGTGCTGCTCCCTCATCGAGTTCTATTTATCAAGTGACTATGTCACAACCATCCATCCCCAAATGTGGAATCTTCCAGCTCTACAAAAGTTGCACATTGCAAACTGCAGATCTCTTACATCTGTTGGACAAGGACAACCACCAATTAGGGCATTCAAATCCCTTACATTCCTAATCATTGACAATTGTGAGAACCTGGCAACCCTTGATGGTCTTCTAACAGAACTATGTTTGCCTGCCATTCGAAAGATTGATGTTAGGAATTGTGGCAAGTTACAGTTCCTTTTTGGTGAAAGGCCTGGGAGTTTTCCTTCCCTTGAAGATCTGTTGCTTCATGATTGCCCTAGTCTCAAATGGCCAAGGGAATTAGTGTTACCATCATCCCTAAAAAAGCTCCACTTAGTTCGATGTGGGGATATTTCCTCCTGGTTTTCAAGCTGCCTACAAAACCTCAAATCTTTGGCTGAACTGGCTTTGATTGGATGTCCAAGTATAACATCCATTCCACTCGGCGTCTACAGAAGTGATCTCGCTTCGCTTGATGCATTGTATATCTCGGGTTGTCCAGACCTCGTGTCAATTGGCGGAGCAAAGGCAGTTGCAAAAATAAAGTATGTGGGCATTTACGATTGCCCAGAGATGGAGGATCCTAAGCAGCCTGTGAGCAGAGGCACAGATATGTTGTCACTTACACTTCAACCTTCACCCTCCTGTTCATTTCCGACTCAGTTGTAAGAGAGTGGGGTCTCTCTTTCCACATGGTACGTGTGTTTACATCTCACAGAAGTTCACACTAGTTCCTTCCCAGATTTTGTTCATTTGTTCTTGCATTCTTCTGATGTACTCACAACGATATAACACGTCTGTAGCTGCGTATGTTGGGCGACCTAGTGATAACACCTCATCTTTTGCACTTTTCTGGTTCATGGTCAATGCTTTCATTTCTGTGTCTTGCTTGCTTGAATTCATTTTGCACAGTAGCAAACACGTGAAGGACAGTTGAGCGATAATAGTTTTCAATGTTTTTTTTAACATTAGCTGTGAGTACATGTATACTGAAATTAATCGCCGCAGTATCAAATTGCCTTCCTGTGTTACTAGGATTTATCACTGCCTATATCTAGGATCCAGGGGCATTGCAAATTCGCAAAATTGATGCAAGTTGGGCGAGAGCGTGCTTAGTTAGCTAAATGCGTCTTTCAGGTTATTTGTTCACTTCTAACCCTTGTACAACTAGAATGTTCTAGCTAACCGAAGTGCCTCGTGCATCATGCTCACTACATGCAACACCTGCACTTTGAAACTCTGTATATGATGCGATGACAAATTCTTGATTCTCGTTGCAGCCTGCAGTCCCATTTTCCTATTCAGAAATGTATGGATTTTCGCTCAATGCAGTTTACTGATCAATGCCTTCTTCTCCTGATGCAGCTTATTACCAAGTGAGAGTTAACTCGCATCAAGGCCAGTGAGGAGGAAAAATGCATCTCTCCAGTCCAAACATATGCTGATAACTACCGGTTCCGCAGAACGGCAGAAGACGCTTTCTAGCCGTTCATAACGCCCCGATGTCTTCAAGGGAGTCTACTTGTTCTTTGCAATGCTTGATACAGAAGCAATCCAGTAATTTCTAATGTGTTTCTACGAGTGTGTGAGAACCATAAAAGCAAGTGAGCCTGGATCTTCCAAAAAAAAGTGTTTCTACCAGTGTCTGAGAACATATTCTGCTGTATTTGCGATAAGTGAGGGTAAAACACGTATTGCGCTACTGTTTCCTTTTATGGTGTGGCTGTGCCATTTGCTTGTGCTTTTGCTCGGTTGATTTGTAAACAATTTTATACTCCAAACTTGGCTGGTGACAGCTCGTGCCGACTTTGGCTGTTTCAGTGTGTTTTGCAGGGAGCTCTTGCGCTGTGTTGGCTCCTTTCTGCTCTTTTTTGCCTTGCTACCATCAACCGTGTGCAGCTTAGAGTTGATCGGAGAAAGAGGCAGGGTCAGTTGGGCAGAGGAGATCGGCCGTAAATCCCGCTGTTTTAAGGCAAAAGACGCTACTCTTTAGAAAATCCCTGCTGTTGGAGGCGGCCGGATCGCACAAGGGGGCACGGGATCCAGGCAGTGGAGTGAGATTTTTTTTCTTTCTGAAATCGTTAAAAAAATCTGACATCAGGTTTTTAGGTTTTCAGACCGAATCTTGTTTGTCTTAAGAGTGCCACGTAGGATAAATGATCAGATCCAGGCAGTTGGACATTAGGTTTTCCGAAATCAATCCCACTACACACTCGCACATAAAGGCATGTACAATGGTGCTATCTTAAGAGTGCCACGTAGGATAAATGATGATGTGGAGGAGGGAGAACTCATAAAAAAGGGTTTGTCTTCTCTTATTTAAGAGAATTCGAGATGATCTCTTAGCTCAATATGTCTCACCATGTTTTTAGGAATTACAAGTTATTGAAGATAAGACTAAGCGATGACCCATTGTAGACACTAGTGGTTGGGGCCCGCCATTGCGGGCCGCTTGCGAGGCAGCTATGCGCACCTCACCATCATGTCATTTAAAAAAAAAAAATTCTTGCATCACATGAACATCACAATCATCTTAAAAGAAAAAGGTAAAAACCTAGAAAAACTTTTCTCCAAAAAAGAGTCTCCCTAGCATTTAAAAAACTCTAAAAAAACGTTTCTCACCGTGACCAACCAGCATGCGCCACATGGCATGACCGGTTGGCTACCATTCTAGCGCCTCTTAATGGGTTTAATTTTATTTATCATCTCTAAATTATATGCAAGACTTAAGATAAGACTATCTTGTCAACAATTGTACATGCCCTAAGAAGAACGGGGATCAACCGGGGCCTCCTACACTACCACGCACGATCGCAACGACTCACGCATATCCAGGCTTCTCGCACCTACCACACACACCAACTGCAGAGGTTAGCAAGAGACTCCATCGACTGGGCCAACAAACTACATACATGCACAAGCAACGATCAATCGATCGAGTCTCACATCAATTGCTCGAGTTCAGTGATGCAAAGGATCGTTCGAGTTCAGTAATGCGAGAGGCTCGCTCACACCCACACGCGTACGAGAGAACGCGCAAATCACCCCTGCCGACCACCCATCATATTACCGTGTGAGGCGGACAAATTCCCTAAAAATTCCCACCCTCATTTCTACTATGATTTTTTTTGAAGAAATATGCTCTAGAGGCAATAATAAAGTTGTTATTTATATTTCCTTATATCATGATAAATGTTGATTATTCATGCTAGAATTGTATTAACCGGAAACTTAGTACATGTGTGAATACATAGACAAACAAAGTGTCCCTAGTATGCCTCTACTTGACCAGCTCGTTAATCAAAGATGGTTAAGTTTCCTAACCATAGACATGTGTTGTCATTTGATGAACGGGATCACATCATTAGAGAATGATGTGATGGACAAGACCCATCCGTTAGCTTAGTACTATGATCGTTTAGTTTATTGCTATTGCTTTCTTCATGACTTATACATGTTTCTATGACTATGAGATTATGCAACTCCCAAATACCGGAGGGACACTTATTGTGCTATCAAACGTCACAATGTAACTGGGTGATTATAAAGATGCTCTACAGGTGTCTTCGATAGTGTTTGTTGAGTTGGCATAGATCGAGATTATGATTTGTCACTTTGATTGTCGAAGAGGTATCTTTGGGCCCTCTCGGTAATGCACATCACTATAAGCCTTGCAAGCAATGTGAATAATGAGTTAGTTGCGGGATGATGCATTACAGAACGAGTAAAGAGACTTGACGGTGACGAGATTGAACTAGGTATGATGATACCGACGATCGAATCTCGGGCAAGTAACATACCTATGACAAAGGGAACAACATATGTTGTTATGTGGTTTGACCGATAAAGATCTTCGTAGAATATGTAGGAGCCAATATGAGCATCCAGGTTCCGCTATTGGTTATTGACCGGAGATGTGTCTCGGTCATGTCTACATAGTTCTCGAACCCGTAGGGTCCGCACGTTTAACGTTCGATGACGATTTATATTATGAGTTATGTGATTTGATGACCGAAGTTTGTTCAGAGTCCCGGATGAGATCACGGACATGAGGAGGAGTCTCGAAATGGCTGAGACGTAAAGATCGATATATTGGAAGGCTATATTCGGACATCGGAAAGGTTCTGAGTGGTTCAGGTATTTTTCGGAGTACCGAAGAGTTACGGGAATTCACCGGGGGAAGTAGTGGGCCTTAATGGGCCATACGAGAAAGGAGAAAGGGGCCTCAAGGGGTGGTCGCGCGCCCCCCATGGCAAGTCCAAATTGACTAGGGAGGGGGCGATGCCCCCCTCTCTTTCCTTCCCACTCTCCTACTTTTTCCCTCTCTCCCCTCTTGGAAAAGGAAGGAGACTCCAACTAGGATTGGGAATCCTAGTTTGACTCCCCCTACAGGCGAGCCCCTCCTAGGCCGGCCTCCTCTTTCCCCCTCCTTTATATACATGGGCAAGGGGCACACGATAGACACACAAGCTGATCTTTAGCCATGTGCGGTGCCCCCTCCACAGTTTTATACCTCGGTCATATTGTCGTAGTGCTTAGACGAAGCCCTGCGTCGGTAACTTCATCATCACCGCCCTAGTCACCACGCCGTCGTGCTGACGGAACTCTCCCTCGGCCTCAACTGGACCAAGAGTTTGAGGGACGCCATCGAGCGAACGTGTGCTGAATACGGAGGTGCCGTACGTTCGGTACTTGGATCATGAAGACGTTCGACTACATCAACCGTGTTACTAAACGCTTCTGCTTTCGGTCTACGTGGGTACGTAGACACACTCTCTCCCTCTCGTTACTATGCATCTCCTAGATAGATCTTGCGTGATCGTAGGTAATTTTTTTGAAATACCGCGTTCCACAACAGTGGCATCCGAGCCAGGTCTATGCGTAAATGTTATATGCACGAGTAGAACACAAAGAGTTATGGGCGATAATAGTCATACTGCTTACCAGCATGTCATACTTTGATTCGGCAGTATTGTTGGATGAAGCGGCCCAGACCGACATTACATGACCGTGTTCATACTGGTTCTACCGCCGTGCTTCGCACACAGGTGGCTAGTGGGTGTCTGTTTCTCCAGCTTTAGTTGAATCGAGTTTGACTATGCCCGGTCCTTGTTGAAGGTTAAAATAGCACACTTGACAAACAAATCGTTATGGTTTTGATGAGTAGGTAAGAACGGTTCTTGCTAGAAGCCTGTAGCAGCCACGTAAAACTTGCAACAACAAAGTAGAGGACGTCTAACTTGTTTTTGCAGGGCATGTTGTGATGTGATATGGTCAAGACGTGATGAGATATAAATTGTTGTATGAGATGATCATGTTTTGTAAAAGTTATCAGCAACTGGAAGGAGCCTTATGGTTGTCTCTTTATTGCATAAGATGCAAGCGCCATATAATTGCTTTACTTTATCGCTATGCGATAGCAATAGTTGCAAAAGCAATAGTTGGTGAGACGACCATGTGACGACACGTTGATAGAGATCAAGATGGTGGAGATCATGGTGTCATGACGGTGACGATGGAGATCATGACGGTGTTTTGGAGATGGAGATCAAAGGCACAAGATGATGATCGCCATATCATGTCACATATTTTGATTGCATGTGATGTTTATCCTTTATGCATCTTATTTTGCTTAGTACGTCGGTAGCATTATAAGATGATCCCTCACT